ATTAGCTCTGATACAGAATCCTAAAAAAAAAAACTGAGAAAAGGATGTGGATCAATCCGCAAGCTGTGAAGAGGCCTCTGAGTGCTCTAATGGATTCTGATGGGGGATCATTCAACCTTCCTCCAAAAGGGGATGAATGCACAGTGTCAGTATCCATAGCACAAAAACAGATTGATTCACAAGACATTTTTGTTTAGGAAGAATTCCAACAGAATTCCACATTCCCTGTGGGTTGAAATAGGAAAAAATAATTACAAATAAATAGATAAATTAACATTTGAATATGACTCTGGGATCGAATGTATTTCTATTCTGTAAATAGTTTTTCTCTGCCCCAACATGGAGTAGGGACTTCAAATTGAAATCACTATAACAAACTTCAGGAAGTAATTGTTGAAAATATATTATCTTTATATCATATCATCTTTATTCGTATTCATATGTCGTAGTTCAACAGAAGATGTGGCAATATTTGAAGCTACAACTCCACATACCAAACCCTAACCCTTATAAATGAGTAATAGAAAATGAAGCCTTGTACAGTGGCTGCAGTATTCCCCTCTAAACTGACAACTCGTTGTATCTGGACTGAAGAGGACGAGGGAAAACAAAACTGAATATATACGTGCATCTGCAGTGCAGGAAAAAGAATAACCATACTGTCCATATACTGTGCGTTATGTAACAGTTTCTTATCTGTCCACAAGATAACACAGGAGAATAATGCGCATGCACTAGATAATAACTTCCGAGCACATATTAAGAGTCAGTGGTAAACAAGTCAATATTGCGACCGCACATGGAAATGATCATGCACACACAGGATGAAAATGTTTGACCAATGGCTCTCCTGGGCTGCATTCATTTTGGAGGAAGTGGGGAACAAATGATCCCGGTGAAAGCTGCTGCAGAACCGGAAGATGACTATGAGCATAAACCGCTCATCTTGTTTTTATTGCACCAGATACTGCGCAGGAGAAGACAGTAGAATAAATCTCTGCAGTACGAGTTCCCTGCCTTTAGACTATCATTTCTTCTCTTTGTTATACTTTGTCTGTTTGGGGGCGAAAAATAACAATTTAGGATGTAGTTTAAATCACATTATGAAAACCAAATCATTCTTTATTTTTTTGTTTTTTTGTACAACCGCTACATGATTTTTTTTTTAAATTCGTAGAACAACATTTAGCTAAAATGCCACTGACAAACCACCTGCGGAATTACATTAAAAGGAATAAATGGACAGTTTGCTGTCGATAGATCTTTAACATAAATGGTAAACTAGAAATTAAAATAGAATTATACATTTTTATTAACATATGGTATGTTAAAAATGAGGATAACGGTCTTAGACAGACTGATAACATTTTAGAATTTCTGCTGATAACTGAAACATCTGAAAGTCTTACATCACTTTTCACATGCGCTTGTGTTGAAATGCTGGTTGTGTTGCTCTGCTGTTGTGTAAGTCTCTGCCAAAAAGGACCGTTCATTCATGGACGACTACCAAAAAATCTCAGCGACGTATTATGGTGATTACATTAGTGTCCTGGCATGTTTCTGCACGGAGGAACAACAACATTTATTATTCAACAGGCTTTCGAAAAACCTGGTGTTTTGGGGCTGTATCTGGCTTATTATAAAATCACCCCCCCCTCCCACCCCCCCCCCCCCCCCATCATCTCCTCAATATGTTCACAAACACAGAAAAATAACCCCTCCGATCACTGTTGCTATAGCAACTCCAGCTTGAGTGCTGTGATGCTACAAGGCCATGGATGCTGTTGTGATACGAGGCTTTTCGCAGCGAAATGTCTGTGTCTGAGACTAAAACTGCTCCGAATGCTACCACTCTAGAAACTTCAGATAGATACATGCAGAAAGAATTAAACAACGATAACATAATTCTACTTTAATGTGAAGAAAATATAAAATAATGGCTTACTGAGACATACTGTACTATTGATGAAAATGCATTAACTCCTAAAGTTGATAGCAGCAATTTGTCTTTAAAAAAACTTGGGAGGAAGGCTGTGAAAAAGTAGTAGAAAGTTATTATAAATGAGAAGAAACAGGTGGACATCTTGCACATAGCTGGGTTAAATGGGAATGGGCCAGTAGCATAGTTAGGTCCAAAAAAAGAGTACTTCAGAGTTATTCAAAACTAAAGATGGCCAAGATTGAGCAATATTCAAAATGAGGAGCCATTTTAGAATAACTGCCCTCTACATAAAATTGGCAGCTAATATTTGGTACACTGTCATGAAATGATTCTGGGGATCTGGACACTTCTCATCCTGCATTAAATATGGTTTTGGATTTTACAATCTTCTGGCTTTTGGGCAACACTGAACTTAAAACAAAATTCAATTACAGCATGTAAACCATCGCACGGGCTCAGGAATTATTAAAAACATCTGTCTGCAAACACACTTTTTCATTCCAAGTGCAGGTTATACATCATGTGGCTTTCATTTATTTACAAGTTTGAAAAATGATGTCTGCTTGGAGGGGTGGGGATTGTGAAGTTTAGTTTGAGGGGCATAGTTTGAGTCCGCATGGGGAGCTGAACATCCTCTCACTTCCTACCATCCTGAGGTTATTCTTCACAGACACAGCTTCTGCTTACCACTGTTACCATGGTGACCATGGTGTTTAGCTGACGGGAGTTTGTATCATAAAGCGTGTCTACAAATGTTACTTGTCAACAAATTCAATGTGTGGTTTAGTGCAATAAACACATATTTAATTCCAAACACACTGTATAGAAATAAAGATGTTTACTCCATTGCTATCAACATGGCAATAGAAGTTGCTTTTTGTAAATGTGTTTTTTTCATATTATAACCTCACATCAAGAGGGATTCCTTGTTCCAATCCCAGCTCGGGGGGCTTTCAATGTGGAGTTTATATGTTCTCCCTGTGTACACATGGGTTCTCTCCAGGCACAATTTAGGTCATTTAGAGACTCTAAATAGCCAGTAGAGAGTATATATGTGCCCAGAAAATGGATGGATGGATGTTTTTTCACCCAAATCTCACAAATGTAAATCATAATAATGTTGCTGCATCCATCAACAATACAAATTACTTTTAAACTACAAATGGGCCCATTTGGCCCCATTACATCATCATTTTTCATTCCTATTGTCTTTCCTATGTATTTATCTTAATGCAACAATGAAAAAATGTTTGTGATTTTAAAGCTTGAGGTCACATCATGTAGATGTGTGAGTCTTTTTGTGGCCATGTGATGTCTTAAAGAAAGAAAAAAGATTAAAGGCTCACCCGGACATACTAGAAACTTTTTTAGTAAAGGCAGAGACACGTTAGCTCCCATCTACATAAACAAATCATGAGAAAAAAAATCATCTTTCTTCAAACTAAATGCTGGTTTTGCCGTAAATGCTGCGTATTGTGACAGCTTGTTATTTTTGCTAAATGCAGACAGCCCTATTTTTTGTCGTTGGGCTTCAGAAACGCTGCGGTTGCAAACATCACGGTTGTGAAGACGCGAGGTGTCGTACAGTATGTGTCACATCGGGAGAAAAAAACCATCTGCACCCTGAGTGTCCCACGCCCACCTCCCCGACCGTCCACAGTTCGCTTTCCCCTTATTTTCTGTAAACTGTGTTTGCTCTCCTCTTGCTTGACTCGTAACGTCCACAGACAGGGAGGGCCCCCGGGGGGCTCTGGGAAGTCACAGAGCATTAGAGTGAAATCTCATCTCCAATAGCAGCCAGATGCTCGAATTGGCTGCTTAAAAGTGTTGCTTCTACACAAATAATGGAAACGTTGAACATGAATTTTCTATGAGACCTCTTATGTCATCTAGACGGATTTCTGCCATTACCTTAACACAGTTATCAGCTGATCTAGTTTCTATCAGATACAGTCCCCATCAAGGAAAAAAATAATAAAATCCCGTCATAGGCACTAGCCTTCACTTCTGACTTAATGGAAAATATGAGCAAGTGCTTTAAAAACCTTTACATATCCATGTGAATTACATTTTTAATCAACTATAGAAGTGCGTTCACTCTTGTTGACACATGTTTACCATCAAATTCATGTTTTGAAATGTAAGTATGGTTGTTTGAGGATGCATGGTGGTACTGTGTATCTATTCTTGCAGTCAAAATCTTGAAGTCGATCCCATTTCTTCTCGTATAATCACGAAAACCTTCGATTCTGTATGCAAAAAGTCTTTCTCGACTGATTGTAACTGCCTTAATGGTTGAAATTAAAAATATAAGAACAAAATAAAACCTTTAGACAACTTTCAAAAGACTTGTCATGTGAGTGATTTGATTTGTCCCTTGAGTTCTGTGCCTTCTTATCTTAGATGATCCATGGTTGTCAAGGACTTGATCTGGTTGAGGGATTTATCATTTGAGACTATATTAAAACGTTTGGGAGATTTTTTTAACCATTTTTCTTGAAAGCCTACATCATGTGCATTTAGATAGGGGTAAATCAAAGATTTGCATTCCCTCCAATTGTTGAGCCTTGTCCCTAAATCCAGTTTAATGTAGATAATGAAATGGAGCATACATGGGAAGCGCTCTGACACATTCCTGTGGACTAAATGAATCACCACATTTTAACGTAGTAGCCTCCTGCTCGGAGTGGAAAACTTAACACAGCTCGCGTTTAGAAGCATAACACACACACACACACACACACACACACACACACACACACACACA